GCAGATCACCCTGTGGACCCTCCCCCTCTGCTCCTCCCAGCCCCCCGCCCTGCAGGTCTCTTCCACACCCCCACGGCAGCCCCCAGCGCGTTGCCCCACGAGGAAAGGGCTGCTTGCTCCCTCCTCTGGCTGCCCTGCCTCGGGCCTCAGACTCTGAGTCATCCCTGCGTCTCCCGCAGCCCAGCACCGCAGCCCAGCTCCGGCCTGGAACCCGGCACCGGAAGGCAGCGTCTCCCCCGCCAGGCCCCGAGGAGCTGGCTTTTCTCCTGGTGCTTTTAGGCAGCGGAGGCCGTGCTGGGCTGTCGGGAAGAAGCGAACGGATGGGGCTGACACTGCCAGGCGGGGAGGGGCGCCGGGCCCTGGCTCCGCGGGGATCCATCCTCTCTGGCGAATGTGGGTCCAAAAAGGGCCAGCCGCTTGTCCCAGATCACACAGCAGCTGGGGCAGGGCCAGGGCTGCAGCCCAGATGTGCCTCCCCAGGAGGTTCTGGGGAGGCCTGGGAGGGGGAGGGGGAGGGGCCCGGGCCCGCAGGGTGGGGCGGCTGATCTCTGCCGCCTCTCAGAGGCCAGGCCCTCCTGACACTCCACGGGAGGCCCTTCCATCCCGGGGCAGCACGGGTTCCAGGCTGGCAGAGCCCTGGTGGGCGGAGGCCTCTTTGCTGCTTTGATGCTCACGCTTTGTGGACCCCCGGGGGAGCGTCTGAGTCATCGCTGAGCCGGCAAACATATTTAGCTCCTCTCATTGTCCCTAATAAATCAATTTCTCCAGGTCTCTCACACCGGCCGCCGGGCGGCTGGCTGCCTGCCCCCATCCCCGGCTCCTGCCAGCTCTGGGTTACCCAGGCTGCTCCCCCTCCTCAGGCGCTGGGCAGGGGTCCCGCGTGCCTTCTCAGAGCCCCCGTGCCCTCTCCTTCTCCATCCCAGGGCATCCTCTGCCAAGCTTGCCTCCCCCCTCCCCTCATTCTGTGATGGTCTCTGTTCAGCAGCCCTGCCTCTGGATCCCCAGTCAGAGCTTCATGACAAGGGGCACGGTGGCTTTGGAGGTGCCAGGGATTGCAGCATCCTGCACACAGCCCAGGTCTTGCCAGGACCCAGCCCTCCTCAAACTTGTATCCGCCCCCCCCCCCCCCGGCTTGTTTTGGGGCCCAAAGGAATCCTGGTCTCAGTTCCTCCCGGTCCCACTGGCTGGAAGAACCAGGCTTCCACTTTGCTTATCTTGAAAGGGCATCTCTTCCAAGAAGCCCTCCCAGATCTTCACTCGCCCCACCCCCTTGAGTCTTTCCTCCCCCAATGGCCTCAGCCTGGTTAGAATCTCTATGAAGGCATGTATGCACACATTCTGCCTGGTAATAACAACAACAGTAATAAATACTGGTGTTTATCACAACCTCGAGTAGGCGCTCAACACTGTTCTAAGTGCTTTGGTGCGTATTTAGTTGTTCCCATTTTATAGATGGGAAAGCTGAGGCTCACAGAGCTTAGGAAATCTGCTTCAGACACAGGGTAGATTTGGGCCTTGAACCCAGGCCCTCTGCGTGGCTCTCAGGACTGCTCCTGTGGCTCTCACACTTCGGTGACACCTCCTCACCTGCCACCCCCTCTCCCACACCTGTCTGCATCAGTCCAGCAGGGCAGGGCTGTGCTGCACCCGTGGCGGAGACGCCCTTGCTTGTGGAAGTCCCGCTGTGTGATGGGGGTCCGCTGGCTCAGCCCTCGGGGGGAAGATGGCGCCTCGGGAGGGTGAGCCACAGCTCAGGGGCCACAGCCAGGAAGTGAGAGCTGGGCGTCCTGACTCCCAGGCTGAGCCCAGCTTGAAGGAGGAGGAGGGGAGAGGCGGGGGCTGTGTTTACCTGTGCCATGGCTGCCTGTTGGGCTGCTTGAGCCTGAGCCTGCTGGTTCAACTAGACAAGTTCACCCCTTTCCTCTCCTCTCCCCGCCCAAGCCTGCCCAGGCCAAGGCTCTGCTCTGACTGAGGCTCCTGCCTGCAGGGGAGGCGGTCTGGGCTTTGGGGCTGCGTCCTGGGAACCTCTCATCCATGTGTGGGGGGAGCCCCCTGCTGTCCGGAGTGAGGAGTGGCGGGATGGTGGGAAGGTGGGCAGAAGCCGCCCAGGGGAGGAGCCAGGGGGTTTGTGCCAGAGAGTTGAGCCCCCCCGCTCCCCATCTTGGACTGTGATGTGGCCCTGCCTGCCCCCTTTCCCCTCATTCCCTCAACCCCTGGCGGCACACCCCGTTCCCTATGCTTCCAGACATGTGCACCTGCTGGAGCTGACTTCTCAGTTGACGTCAGTCTAACCAACAATTATTTTGCACCTACTGTGTCCTAGGCACTGAGCCGGGGACAGCCTGGCCTGTGAGGAATGCACGGTGCACGTGTGTGTGTGTGTGTGTGTGTGTGTGTGTGTGTGTGTGTGTGTGGTTTGGGAAACAGGCACGAGGTGCGCTCCCTGCATTGTCAGGTGCGTGTCCTTTCCCCTGCCTGCTGCCAACACTCCAGCACAGCTCCTCCGAGGAGCCTCCCCGGATTGCCCCTCAGCCCAGCCCAGCCCAGCTCCACGGGCCCCCGTGCTCCCCATCACAGCACAGGCTGGCCTAGGCTGTCCCTGCTCTTTCACTCCCGTCTCCCCGGCCTGATCTGAGCTCCTTTTGAGGACCGGGCTCTGTCTTGATCATCTCTGCCTCCCTGGCTCTGCGCGTGGGGCCTGTACACAGCAGCTACTCAGTAAGCAGGGGCCAAGTGAAGGCCTATGTGGGTAAGGTGATCGGGGCGATGGCTCACTGGAGGAATTTCAGAGAGGGGGCTGGGTTAGGGTGCGGGAGCCACCTGGGTGCCCCACACATCCGGAGGGGGCTGCCCAGGGTGCTAGAACCAAGAACCATTAGAATGTAAGCCCCAGGGGGCAGCGGCTCACCCGTGCCTGGAACAGTACCTGGGACCCAGGAGGGATTGAATCAATGTTGTGAAAAGTACAAGGAGAGGAAGATTACCACAGTCAAGCTCTTCTCTGACACCCACAGGGTCATTAGATCCAGCTGTGCTTGCATCCCTCCACAGACAGGGAGCTCACCACCTCTCTCCCCAGGCAGCACTGCCTGCTGGGAAGTTCCTTCGCCTTTCCCCAGCCTGGGCAGAGCCAGCTCGCCCCTCCCTGCTCTGCGAGAGCCCTGTGGCACACCCAGCCCTCGGGGATGTCTGTCCAGTGTGGCCGCCTCAAGGGTCCTGAGGGTGAGGGTCCAGGTCCCTTCACCCCCTCCCCCAGTGCCCACTCTTCCCTGCCTGACCCTGCTGCCCTCTGCTGGGAAGGTGATGAGGCGAAGGGCCAGGATCGGGTCAAAGATGGCAGACGTGGTCACAGAGAGGACAGGGCCCACCCATGAGTTGCATCATGACTTTTATTCTCTCAGCTGAGTGACTCATGCTCCCGCACCCAGACAGCCACCCGGTCCCCTCAATGAGGGGGCGCCGAGGACAGAGGGGGCAGAGGGGACTGGGATCTCAGTCAGCGGTGGCAGTGGCAGGAGAGGACCTCAGGCCCCGTGACTCCCAGGCCAGTGCTCCTCCCGTGAGCCCTGGCTGCCCCTTCCTAGCCGGTGAGGTGGCAGAGGTGGAGACCAGCTCCCAGGCTGACCTGGGGGCTGGGACGTCCTGACATTCCTGCAAGGCCACCTCCTGCAGCCGCCCAGCTCAGCGCCTTCCCTGTGCAGTCTCACACCAGGCCCTTGCACCCTCCAGGCGGCCGCCCCGTCCTGACGCTGGGGAGGTGGGCACACAGAGGCAGTGGGGGAAGCAGAGATTGCCTCCCCTCCCCTGGGGAACCCCCGGAGCTCCTGCTCGCCCACTCAGGCTGGCACAGGCTGGCAGCGGGGCAGAGGCAACCCCATATGCTGCTTCCTTCAGGGAACTTCCCTCCGGGGCTCCCCCAGGACCCGGTGAGGGGGTGAGAAGTGCCTGAGAAGAAGCCTGCTCGAGGGAGGCATCCTCCCCCAGGCCGGGGCCTCCCGGGAGACAGAGCCGCCTGCCAGGCGCTGGGAAGTCAGCTCAGCTCTCATGGTGCCTGTGCTGCCGCAGAGAGAGGAGCTCAAGGTGCGGGGCCCCGCCGGGCGGCCCCTCGCCACCACGGAATCCCGCTCCCTGGTCTTGCAGGGAAGCCTTGACTGAGACTCTGCCGTGAGCTTCTGTGTCACTCATCGCCGTGGCCGCCGCCTCCAGGCAGCCTTCCCGGTGACCACATCCACACGCTGTCCCTTCTGGGCCTCTTGGTTGCACCACCAAGTGCGTCCGCCTGGGATGTGCTGCGCCATGTTCTTGAGGAGTCCCGCCTGCGCCTCCCCTGAAATGGACACCCCGAGGGAGGAGCCCACGCTGCTCTCGGCTCCCGGGCAGCCTACAGTCCAGAGTCCCCTCCGGCTCAGCAAACACGTGTAGACATCTCCAGCCCGAAGCTCCTTCGGGAGACCTGGTGCAATCCCGTCCGTCTGCCTGGAGGAAGCAGTCCGAGAGGAGGGAGGCAGCCGGGGGCCGAGGCTCCCCTCACCGTGGGGAATGGTGGGGGGCACACACAGAGCCAGAGGGGCCAACACATTGCCCAGTTTTCCCGGAACCAGAGGAGGAGTGAGACCTGGGCAGAAGGCACCCAGCGCCCTGGAGATGGGGCTTAGGAACGCCACGGCCCTCCTGCCGTGAGGCCTGACGGCTTTCCAGAGTGCGAGGAGACCTTCACAGAAGGGGAAACTGAGGCCCAGAGAGAGGACCAGGTGGGGAGGTGTCTGGTTTCTCTTCGCCCGCTTCCTCAGGCCTCTCCTGGCAGCAGCTGGGTGCCGGTCGGGGTCCTCAGCTGTTCCCACCCACCTTCCTGAGCCCCCACCTCCCCGTCCTGTCCGCTCCAAGCAGTGGGGGAGGGAGGGTGTCTGCGGGCCAGGAAAGCGGGCTGCCTGGGCGGCGGGTCTCCAGGTTCCACAGTCATGGCGTCCGGGCTGCCTGGCCCCACACCGCCTCCCGGGAGCTCAGTTCTTGCTGGCAATCTTCTTCTTCCGGGCAGAGACCAGGTCGTAGAAGGGGACACGGGTGATGCTGGCCCTGGAAGGGCAGCGGGTGAGAGAGTTGGGGGTGGAGCTAGCATCAGGGGGTCCTGTCTCCCCGGGCTGCTTATAGGGGCGTAGGTTTCGCAGGGAAAGGCCAGATGACCCCGAGCAGGACCGGGGACCAAGGCGGGTGTGTGTGGCCCCTCTGGCCAAACCCAGAGGCCGTGACAGGGCTGGAAGGAGGAGCCTGAAAAGATCTGCCCCGCAATGTCCCTGCGCCCCTCTTCTGGCTCCATCAGACTCTTGGAAGGAGGTGGCAAGATCCCGGATGAAGGGAGGCCTGCTTGCTGGCCTGGCTCTGTCCCCCACTGGGCAAGTCCCTCCCCTCGCTGGGCCTCAGTTTCTCCATCTGCACAACGGAGGTGAGAATGGGTTCGAACCGGCAGCCTAACAGAGCTGCTGCAACGCTTGAGGGGAAAGACCCTTCAAGCTCCTGGGACATGCCCCGGTCCGGAGACTGGCCCTATGACTTCCTCTGGCCCCTGCCCGCACCTCCCCAGGCTCAGAGTCAAGGTTGTTCTCCTGCCCCCTCTCCATGGCCTCCCTCCACTGCCCCCGCACTGTAGCCTTTCTCACCTGGCACACCCCTTCTCTCTTTACCAGCCTGTGGCTCCCCAGGGCCCCCGAGGAATCCAAGCTCGTTGCCATGGCAGCCAAGGCCTTGCCATCCTCTGCAGCCCCCTCTCTCACGGCTCCACGCCCACAGGGCCCTGTCCCCGCACAGCCAGGCCCCACGCTGCCCAGTACCAGCCACCAGGACTGTGCCACACCCTGCCCTGCTCTCCCATCCTTGCCCACACGGGTCCTCTCGCCGGGAACACCTGTCCCTCCCTCTCTGCCAGGTGATCCTGACACGAAGTACCGCGCCATGCGAGCACGGACCCCTGTCAGGGGCTGGGCAAAGAGCTTTACGTGTGACCTCTCCTCGGCTCCTCCCATCAGCCCCCGGGAGCTGGTGCCACGCTGCCCTGTGCCCCGGCGCCTGGCACTGGGCTGGCACAGAGAGGCGCCCACAGAATACGGGTGGGAGGGAGTTGCGTGCCAGAAGCAGGAGGGAGATTCTGGAGTTGTCCTCCTTTGCAGACAGGAAAGCAGGCCCGAAAGGAGCAGGGGCTTCTGGGAAGGGACAGGAGGCCCATCCCTAGCAGCTGGGCATCCCTTACCGTATGGCCTCGATCCACTGGTCCCGCTCCTCGGCGCTGGAGGCCGAGATCCGGTAAGACTGGTGCTTGCCCTCCACCACCTTGCCGTCCCCATCCGTCTTGCAGGCTTTTATCTTCTGGCCCCGGCAGCTGGGGTTGCAGAGCTCCAGGCAGAACTGTGGGGAGGTGGCCAGGTGAGGGCGGGGCAGGGAGGGGGGGGGGTGGCTGGACGCTCCAGGAGGTCAGAGAGGACTAGACTCTGGGGTAAGACACGCTTGGACAAGCAGCAGCACACACCCGGCCCCGGGCCTGCTCCCTGAGCGGTGGAGGGGCAGACGGAAGGGTCCACGGCCTCAGGAGGGAGATGGAGGCAGCCTTGAGCCCCTCCCTGCCCCCCCCCGGTGGGCGGGGTCTGGCCTAGCCTGCTGGAGAACCCCAGGCCAACCGCCCTGGCCTTCTCCTCGGTTTCAGAGAGTCCCCCAGCTGTTCCAGTCCCCAGGTCCCCACCCCGACACCCACCGGCTTCTTGGGGTCGTCCACCTTCTGCACCGACAGGTTTTCAAGGGGGATGATTCCCCGAGGCTCCTTGTCCTGCAGGGGAACCGGAGGGGAGGTCATGATCAGCACCTGAGCGTGAGGTGTGGACGGGGGAGTGAGCTTGTAGACAGGGGCCTCCCTCAAACCAAGAGGAGTACCCTGTCCAGCCCTGGAGGGGCGGCAGCACAGAGAGATTCCTGGATGGGAGTCAGGAGACACAACTTTAATCTCTGGGCCCTTGGCCCAGCCCCTCCGCCGCTTCTTGCTCAGTGTTCCTCATCCGTAAAATGGGTGCAGAGGTGGGTTTTGTGATCTCAAAGGGCCCAGCTCTGTGAGGCCACTGCTTAGTGGGGGAGCAGCGGGGGTGCAGAGGGGGTGCAGAGGGGTGCGGGCCGGGGCAGGCAGGCTCACCGTGGTGAACTCGAAGTAATAGAGGCAGCTGTCCGTCAGGATGAACCAGCGCCGCTTCCACGTCTTCACGCGGCCTCCTGCAAGAGGCCAAAGCCGAGTTAGTCCTCCCCTTTCCTCCCTCCTCCCCCCTCTCCTCCCCCTCATCCTCCTCCTCCCCCTCGTCCTCCTCCTCCCCCTCCTCCTTCTCGTCCTCGTCCTCCCCCTCCTCCCCCTCCTCCCCCTCCTCCTCCCCCTCCCCCTCCTCCTCCCCCTCCTCCCCCTCCTCCCCCTTCCCCTCCTCCCCCTCCTCCCCCTCGTCCTCCTCCTTCTCCTCCTCCCCCTCCTCCTCCTCTTCCTCCTCCTCCTCCCCCTCCTCCCCCCCTCCTCCTCTTTCTCCTCCCCCTCCTCCTTCTCCCCCTCCTCCTCCTCCCCCTCCTCGTTCTCCCCCTCCTCCCCCTCTTCCTCATCCTTCTCCCCCTCCTCCCCCTCCTCTCCCTCTTCTCTCCCTCCTCCCCCTTCTCCTCCTCCTCCTCCTTTGGGCTGAGACACTCCCCATGGAAGAGCAGGGCCTTGGATGCTTTCCCCGTCCTGAGCCCCTAGCTCCCAGCGGCCTCACTCCCCCAGATCTATTCCTTCCTTTCTAAGAAATCTTAGTGGCTCCATCACCCCAGCTTTTCCCTGAGCTGCCGGACCCAGCGTGCGAGGCTCCTCCATGATGAGACCCGGACAGTGGGAGACCCCGGACAGTGTCTGGCCACTCCCTGGGCTGTCCTGCCGCCCTCCCCGCTCAGTCCATCCTTGGCTGCGTCCTGCCTGGCACCGGGCTAAGCATTTCATCTTGCATTTGCCAGGCACCATTCTAGAGGGTTTAAAGAATATTCCCTTATTAATTCCACTGTGAGACGGAGAGTGTTATTGACCCCCTTTACAGATGAGGAGACCAAGTCTGCTCCAGAGCCTGCTGCAGGGCTGAGATTCGAACCTCCAGTGGCGGAGTTCTAAAGGCCAGCGGTTAGCCATTTTGCTACACCGTCAAGCCTCCCCGTGAGTATTCTCCCCATTTCACAGCTGCGGAAGCTGAGGCTGAGCAACCAGACCACCAGCAGCGGGGGGAGGAGCGGGATCTGTGGCTTACAGCCTCCCTGAGGTCTAGAACTGTCGGCTGGGCTCGAAAGGGTGCCTCGCGGGCCGTGGGCGGACAGGTGGGACGTGGGCGTGCACAGGCAGCCCAGGCCCATCCCTGTGCCTGCCTCAGAAGGCCACTGTGCCTGGCTAAGCCGTCCCTGCTGGGGGCGCCCAGGAGTGGGAGTGGGGGCCGGGGCTGGCCCTGCAGCTCCCCTACCCCACTCCGCAGCTGCCGCCCACACCGCCGCAGCACCCACGGGGCTGCTCTCTGCAGGTCTAGCCCTCATGGGGAAGGGGAGGGGGAGCTCCCCTGAGCCACTTCCTGTCATCCTCAGGGACACCCAGCCCTCTGCCCACATCGACCTGCCATTGGCCATTGTGGCCTTGGCAGGAGCCCTCTCTTTCTGGAGCCTCAGCTTCCTCAGTGGCCCTCGGGAAGGGAGCCGGTGCGGCAGTTGAAGAGTTTGTGGGTCTGTCAGCATTTGCTCCCCTTCCTGCTTGTCCTTCCCCTCCCCCACCACCCCCTTCACTCCCGGGACAGACGATGGAGAGATAGGCAGGCAGGCGGCTGCACTGGGGGTCAGGAGGCCTGGGACCGGCTCGACTCCACCCTGAGGTTGCATGTCAACTGTGTGTGTGTCGGCCATGTGCCCCAGTGAGCCTGAGTGTGTGTCTGTGTGTGTCAGCCATGTGCCCCAGTGTGCCTGGGTGTGTCAATGTGCCCCAGTGTGCCTGAGTGTGTGCCTGTGTGTGCCAGTGTGCCTGAGTGTGTCAGTGTGCCCCAGTGTGCTTGAATGTGTGCCTGCGTGAGTCAGCCATTTTCCCAGTGTGCCTGAGTGTGTGCCTGAGTGTGTGCCTGCGTGTGTGCCAGCATGCCTGAGTGTGTCAGTGTGCCCCAGTGTGCCTGAGTGTGTGCCTGCGTGTCAGCCATTTTCCCAGTGTGCCTGAGTGTGTGCCTGCGTGTGCCCCAGTGTGCCTGAATGTGTGCCTGCGTGTGCCAGTGTGCCTGAGTATGTGCCTGCGTGTGCCCAGCGTGCCTGAGTGTGTGCCTGCGTGTGCCAGTGTGCCTGAGTGTGTGCCTGCGTGTGCCCAGCGTGCCTGAGTGTGTGCCTGCGTGTGCCCAGAGTGCCTGAGTGTGTGTCTGCGTGTGCCAGTATGCCTGAGTGTGTCAGTGTGCCCCAGTGTGCCTGAGTGTGTGCCTGCGTGTGCCAGTGTGCCTAAGTGCGTGCCTGTGTGTGTCAGCCATGTGCCCAGTGTGTCTGAGTGTGTGCCTGCGTGCCCCAGTGTGCCTGAGTGTGTGTCTGCGTGTGCCAGCGTGCCTGAGTGCGTGCGCGCCTCACCCAGCTTGAGCAGCCAGCCCTCGCGGTCGGGGTTGAAGAAGGTGTGGGTGAGGTCGTTGCCGTCGTCCTCGGGGATGGAGAAGGGCTCGCTCTTGATGCTGTCGAAGAGGTTCTGGCCCGAGAGAAGGGAGGGGAAGGCCTGGCTGTGACGTCCATCCAGGCTGGGCCTGGCCTGGGGGCCTCGGGCAGGTCACTGGACCTTGAGGCAAACTCTCCTCTCCTGCTGGCTCACCGTGGGTCCCTGGCCTCCTTGGGAAAACCCTCCCTGGTTCCCCCAGACCCTGGTGCTCCCCGCCCCACCCCCATGTCCTGCCTCCCCCTGCACAGAGCGAGAGGAGGTCAGCGCCTCAGGCACTGGGCGGACGGCTGCACACGTGGCCCCCACGCTGTCAGTATTCCAGCTTCCTAGGGGGCTCCTCCAGGGCAGGCCTGGGTGTCACACCCTGAGCTTCCCCAGGGCCTGGCCTAAAGCAGGCTGGCAACTGTTTGCTGACTGAACGGATGCAGCTCCCCACCCTCACTCCCACCCTCCCCACCCCCCGCCCGGAATTCCAGCCAGTGGCCTGAAGGCAGGTGGGACAAGAGCACTGGGCCATCTGGGTTAACATCCCAGCCTGGTCACTCAATGGCTGTGTGACCTGGGCATGTCCCTCAGTCTCTCTGAGCTGCTGTGTCCTTATCCAACAAACGGAGAGAACAAGACTGCCTGGCCGGGCTCTGGAGGCGGTAAGTGGACCACACAGGTCAGAGCCCCCTCTCCACCTCACGGACGGTGACGAGGAGGGAGGAGCACAGCCCCTGCCTGCACGCCCCCCGCCAAGTGCTCACAGGTCAGGTGGGCAAGCCCAAGACCACCCCCCGGTGACGTGGTAAGACAAGGACACTCAGTGGCTGGGATTGTACACCCACCCACACATTCTCCTGTGCATGCATGTTTTGCATACATACACACACACACACATAGAAACACACACACAGAAACAGACACAGAAACACACACATAGGAACACAAACACATAAAAATACACACACGAATAGAAACAGACACAGAAACACACATAGAAACACAGACATATAAAAATACACACACACATAGAAACAGACACATAAATACATGCACACATAGAAACACAGACACATAAAAACACACAGAGAAACACATACACAAAGAAACACACACACACACACACAGAAACATACCCACATAGAAACACACATAGAAAGACACACAAAAAGAAACAGACACAGAAACACACATAGATACACACATACAACACAGAAACACAGACAGATACAGACACACACCACATAGCTGCACACTCTGGGCATAGCAGCCAAGGACAGGGCCTCTGTGGGCAGTCCCCCCTGCTCAGGCGCAGCAGCAGGGACTTCTGGGTGCAGCTGGTGGGGGACACAGAGGAGCCCCGGGGAATTTGGGCTGGTCCAGCTAAAGGAGACACTCAAGTGAAATGCTGACCTTGGCTCTCACAGGCAAAGGACCTGTGCTGGGTGGGCTCTGATATTTGGGGGGAGGGGGTCTTCAGAAAGCAGAATTCAGGTCTCTGGGGAGGGCTTCCTACAGTCAGAGTTGCTGAAACACGGCCGGAACAGCCTGAGAGGGGACGGCCTCCTGTCCCTGGAGGTGCACGCTGGGCTCACACCTCCTTCAGCGAGTGTGGGTGTCGGTGATGGGTCATCCTTGTGTTTTGGACCCTCTGGGCCTCCGTTTGGCAATCGCCCGCCCAGACTCCCCAGTGTTTGGGAAAACAGCCCGAGCTGTTGATTTCTGCTTATGGAAACCAGACGCAGTGCTGGCTCTTCATCTCAGGATAATTAAATCTTTCCTTCTGCCGCGCCGGTGCGCTCTGCTGCTCAGATGGCTGCCTCCACATTTGAAATGAAAAATCTAACAAGTGCTGCTTGATTCCCCCAAAGTTTTAGAAATGGTGTTTGCTCGGGAAAGGTCTTTCTGACCTGATCTGGGGGAGGCACAGCCGGAAGCAGGTTTTCTTGGGCTTGACAGTCCCTGGGCGCAGCCTGGCTGGGGCTTGGGGAATGGGGGGTGGGGTGGGGTGGGGAAGGGAGGGGCCCTGGTTCTGTTTGGAGCCCCTGCAGCCCCCAGAGCAGCCGCGAAGGCCGCTGCCTCTCCCAGCCTGGCCCTGGGAGGCTCCGGCTGGTTAAACAAGGGCTGCACAGGAAGGCCTTGTCAGCGGAGCTGTCAGCACAGACAAATATTTGGAAGCCGGAGGAGGCAGGCTGGGGAGCCTCCCGACACCCTGCGGGGGCCCTGGCAGCATTCTGCCCCACAAGGCAAACCGCTCAGCGCCCCCACATTTCCTGTACCTTTCAAACACCAGCCTCCCACCCCCCAACCCAACAGCCCTGCTCCTGCCACCACCAACCGCTGGCCAGGCTGACTTCGGCTGCGATCAGACACGGGCATCTGTCCCTTTCCACGCCCCGGGTCCCTCTGGGGACCCATCCCACCCCAAACACACTTTCTGTCCAGATTGCCCAGGGGTATTGACACCCGTTGCCCCACCCCAGGCTCCAGGGCCGGGTGTGAATGGGTCCCTTCTGGCTCATCAGAGCATCTGTCCTGCTGGTCTCAGTGACTGGTTCAGGGAGGGACAGGTGATGTAAGCCAGCCAATCAGCCTGACTTCTGGGACTTTAGTTTAAACTGGTAGGCAAAAATGGGAGCCCGAAGCTGCCCAGCCATCCCGGCCACAGCCTGGGGAGGGCCCATTTGAGAGGGAAGCTGGCATGGAGGAGGGTGATGGGCAGCACAAGAGGCAGGACCGAGTCCTGACCTCTCTGAGCACCTGGATCGAGCCAAGCCTGAAGCCGACTGATCTGAAGACAAATGGATGCCTGATCTTTTCTGCTACACGAGGTTCCTCTAGCCAGGAAGGGACTGTCAGCAGGGACACACAGCCAAGTCCTCTGTCCCTACGTTGTGCCCTTGGTCCCGGCAGAGGGAAGGGCTCTGGGGTCAGACAGACAGGGGTTCGAATCTGAACTGCTCACAAACTATGAAGCCCCTCCTGACCAGCTACCTCTCCTGGAGCGCAGTTTCCTCCCCTGTAAACTGGGGACGGTTTCCGCCGGCTGGGACAGCGGGTCGGAGTCCTGAAGTGGCCGGAGACTTAATGGGAACCTAGTGGAGTCCCTGGAACTGGGCTCAGACACGTCCGTTCTGATGGAGCCACTTGGACTCCACAGTAGAGATGCCCTGACCTGGGAGGCTGTTCCCCTGCCCGGCCTCAGTTTCCCCACCTGTAACCCTCCTCCTCCTCCTCTCCCACCCTCGCTCCCGCTCTGGGCAGCGCTCTCAAGGCAAGTGGTTCCTCTCTCATCTCTCCAGCACCCGCCAAGGGCCAGGGGCTCCAAATGCATTATCTCTGCTCCTAGGTCCTAGAATCTAGGAGAATGATGTGAGATCAGTGCCATCAGCCCACTTTGTAGATGAGGAAACTGAGGCCCAGATGCAAGGTCATGCAGCCATAAAGGCAGCGCTGGGATCCGATCTTCCACCCCGAGTCCACACCCCATACCTTTGCCCCGAGTCTCTTAGGTACTATGCCCTGTCCCATCATGAGGGCCGGGGAAGACCTGATCAACCCACCCATCCCTCAACCGCCCCCCCCTTACGCCCTCCCCGCCCCCTCTCCCCCGAAGCCTTTCCCAGCTGCGCACCCTCACGCCCTCGGGCTGGCCTCTCTTTAGGGGATGCTCCTGCAGCAGTTTAACTCCTGCACAGGCTTTCTTCAAAGCGCTACGGGTCCTCAGCAGGGCCCGGCTGCAAAAGCATCAGGAGGAATCCTTTCAAAAGGGGCCAGCTTGGCATAACGGAAGGCACTTAAAGCTGAGGCCTGGCTTTACACACGAGGAAGAGGAGACCCAGAGAGAAGGCAAGTAGACACCCCACTCCACCCTCTCCCTCCTCCCTGCCCACCCCAGCAGCCACCTATGGAGCCTTGGAGAGCAAGGACCAGGCTGTGAGGGCTGTGTGCGCCCTGGGTGTTTGCTCCATACCTGACCTGCCTACACTGACCCTGTGAGGTCAAGCCACTTCCCTAATGTCAGGGACATGGGGATCTCTTTGGGATCTGCTCAGTGGCCAAGGGGGAGGTGAGCTCTTGCCAGACCTCCCAGGCAGAGTCTGAGGGAAACTGAGGTAACAGACCAGCAAGCCCTGCCAGGAGGAAGTTACATGCTCTACAAATGCCACCCATTGTGATCATCAACACTGAGGACAGATCCCGGAGGGGGGTGCTGGGAAGGCTCCCTGGGGGCTGACGCTACCATGTGGCTCCCTCCCCGCTCAAGATGGGCAGGACGGGCTTGTCATTAACCCACTCACTGCCACCGCCGTGCCCAGCTTCCTGCCGGGAGTGCCTGCCAGTGATGGGATGAGTCAACAGTTCTCAAGTGCCTTTTGTGTTGGAGGCACTTTACTAAGTGCCGGGCATTAACATTATTGCCCATTCTTCTTACGAGTGGCACGAGCGGCCATTTGGAGCCTCGCTGGGTCCCCGCGTGGCTGTGCCCTTCGCATTTGAAGCGCCGGCTCTCAGAGCAGCTCGGTGACACAGCGCCATTATCCCTGCTGTTTGAGGGCCTGGCGGCCGGGAGAGGCTGAGTCATTCCCAAGGTCACGAGTAAGGCAGGCGGGCGGGCAGGCGGGCGGGCGGGGGAGGGGAGGTTTGACCAGCGCTCCCATCACCATCAGTTCTCTCTTCTGGGACAGAGAATGGCCCTTCTCAGACAAGGAGGGGCGCCATTCCGGACCCAGGCCCCCCAGCTTCCGCAGGAGGTCCGAGGTGCTAGGCTGGGAGCGTGGCTTCACACTTTCCCCTCCCTCCCCCTGGCTGGGCTCTGGCCTGGAGGGGGCTGGAGCTCTTTGGAGCTCTGGGCACATCCAGTCCTAGAAAGGAGCTGTCCATCCATCTGTGCTGAGCCAGACTCTGAATCTCACGCCAGTGTTTGCAGGACTGCTCCCGACTCCCCGCTGCCCATAGCAAGCAGGCCAGCTCCCGAGGAGGCCATTCACAAAGGCCTGGATCCTCTGGCTTCACCTTGCCACCCATCACTGTCCATAAGCACCCACACCCCAGCCTGCCAATCTGGACCCCCTCCCTGCCCCAACCAGGCCAGGCCTGGGTGCTGGCCACGTCCTCCTTCGGAAGTGGCCTTCCTCCGCTCCTCCTCCTCTGGGGAAACGCCTGTTCCATCTGCAAGACCCCGTTCAAAAGTCACCTCCTCCGTGGAGCCTTCCAGGAGGACACCCGGCCCCTGCCCCCAGGAGAGGGCGGTAGTGTGCTCTGTGTCTCTGAGGCCGTGTTCCCATGACGAGCACAGCAGGAGTCACCAGGGCTGCACCTCACGGGCCGGGTGCAGGGTGGCAGGGTGGGGGCTGTGTGGCGAGGAGCCGGAGCCCTGGGTTCTGCTCCGCGGGAGACCTCAGCTTCCTCCCTTCTGAAGCGGGGGAGAGCGTGAGGGTTTTCAGCTCTGACGCACTAAGAACCCGAGAGTCTGGGATTCCGAGAAATAGACAGGAACACCTTTCTGGAAGGTGTGAGTGATGAGTGTCAGAGTCCCTGAAAGCTGGAGCCCTGGCAGGACCTCCTGAGGGGGTCCATCTCCGTCCTCCCTTCTTAGGCTCGGGGCCACGGGGGAGGGGCACCTCGGGACCAGCCTCCTGTGGGGGCCCAGACAGTCCCAACCCCATGGTTCATCTCAGAGGAGCCCCCTGGGCCGTCCGTCTGGCAGTGCCTGGGCCGGCGAGGCCCCGCCCCCTTACCCGCAGCTGGTCCTCGGGCAGGTCGCTGCCACCGTTGATGCCGCGGTTCATGGACACGAAGCGCTCGAAGGGCGGCTTGTCCCGGACGTTGGGGTTGTGCAGGCTGGTGTTGAGCATGATGATGGAGAAGGACAGGACGTAGCAGGTGTCTGTGGGCCGGGACGGCGGGTCAGAGTCCCGGCCCTGGCTGCTCTCCCCTCCTCTGCCCCGACTCCTCCTAGGTGCCCAGGTCAGCCTCTGCAGAGCCCAGGGCCCCCCATCCTCCTGGCTTGGTATTCGAGGCCCCGGGCTCACCTTCCACTCCTGCTGGTCTCCCTGCTCCAAAGCCACTCCCGCGGTCACGGCCAGGCACCCGCGGTGCCTTCCCACCCTGCGCTTTCGCTCTGGTGGGGCCCCTGCCAGGTGTTCTCTCCCCTCCCCTCCCCCTTTCTACCCAGGTGAGTCCTCCTCTCAGCTCCAGTGCTCCCCACCCCGAGCCTGCCAGCCCCTCTGCCCACTTTGTTCCCTGCTGCCCTGGGTCTCAGATCCAGATATTCACGGGTTAGGCAGCGAGGCTGTGTGCTGGGCGGAGCACGTGGGAGGGAGGTGACTGCTGCTCTGTGGCGTGTGTCCAGAGCCAGGGAAGTCCACCTATGTCCTGTCGAACCAAAACTCCTGCTCAAAACACCCTTTATCCCCTGGACTTTCTGGAGAACTCCTATTCACCCTTCAAAACCTCATTCAGACCCCACTGCCTCTGGGAAGCCATCCTGGACATGCGGACTCCTCAGGCCCTGCCCTCAGATGGGTGTGCTGCTGCCCTAGCACACCCTGTGCCCCGTTTCCTGCCTCCTCCCCCAAGGAGCATGCCCAGAGGCAGCTCTGCCCAACAAGCGCCCCACAGAGGGGCTGGCACAGAGCTGATGCTCAGCGAGGGCTTGGCATGACTGGGCTCCCAGGGTCTGGGTACTTGGGAGAGACCAGTGGGGCTGGGGCAGGCATGGTGCTTGGGGAGGGAGATCTGTGCCTGGCGATGCTTAAGGGGTTCCAGGGCCCCAGGCCCCCCAAACGGGCACCTGTGGACTGGAAGACGCCCGGGTTGCAGAGGCAGTAGCGTGTGGCGAACGTCTCCATCATCCGGTCGATCTTCTGGGCCTCGCCCGGCAGCCGGAAGCTCCAGAGGAACTGCCTGGAGGAGGAGCAGGGCTGTGGGCAGCAGGCCGGGTGGGGGCTCTCAGGGGACCCTGGACTAGCCGCTCTGCCTTTCCCAGGCTCAGTCTCTTTATCCTGCAAATGTCAGCTAAGCTCCGCAAGCACCAGCACACAGGAGGTTTCCGAGAAATGCCTTGGTTTTCCCTCCCAGAATGCAGAGCTGAGTTTGTGCTGCCCTCTGTCCGTCTGAGTCCTCGCACCTTTTCTGGCCCAGTACACCTCAGCCAGCACGGGACCCTCTGCCTGTCTGGTTCTGCAGCTCTGCCTGCCTGGCCATCAGGTACTACGATCTGACTGTGGGCCCTGGGCCAGCTCCAGGCACCCAGGACCTGCCCCATAAGGCTTGGTGAGTGAGTGAGTGAGTGAGCATTAGAAACGAGCCCTCTCTCTCAGAGAGCGTGGCAGGGAGAGGGAAGGCCAGATTGCCTGGACAGTGGTGGCTCCTTCCTTCTCTGCCTTGAAAACTCCTATTCATCCTTTAACGCCCAGCTCAAATGCCTCCTTTGGGGAGCTAATGTTCTAAGATTTCCTAAACATGTACTGTGGGCCCAATTCTGAGCACTTTCTCATGTAGTTCTCACAACTGTATGAGGTTGGTGCTATTATTATCCCCATTTTACAGATGAAGAAACAGGCACAGCGAGGTTTTTGGGGGACTTGACCAAAGCCACACAGGGGGAGAGTGGCAGAACTGAGATATGAACTGGGCAGTCTGGCTCCAGAGTTTGTGCTCCTGGCAGATATACTATAATGCCTCTGTCGTTGTAAAAATAAAATAATATTCTAATAGAAAACTTGAGGTCCAGTACACAAATTCATGCACAGTTGGGATCCGCTGGCCTGCCCGGATTGGGCTGATCAAGCTGGACGGCTGGGCCGAGGGGCCGCAGGCGGTTGGTCGGCTGACCCCCCCCCCCCCCCCCCCGATCTGGGTGTGTGTGGGTGGTCGGGAGTCGGCGGGGTGGGCCAGGGAAAGGGGCCGCCATTGGTTAGTCGAACTCCCGGTCGAGGGGATAATTTGCATATTAGTCTTTCATTATATAGGATAATAAATAATAACGTAGAACATGTTAAGCTGTATTAACAAAATAAACAAAACAAGCACTATTCTGAAAAGTAGTGGGAATGGCAGTAATGATCGCAATAACGATCACAATGATTAAATGTTATTATAGTAGTGTTGTAGTATAATAATGCCAGCAGCAGCAGCAGCAGCAGCAGCAGACACAAGCCAGGTGCTGCCAGTCCAGGTGGTCCACACCAACTGTCTCACCAGCCTCAGCTGCACGGGGCGGGCACTGCCTGCCGTTCATTCTGGCTCCTCACACTGGGTGCTATTAGCCGTGTGGCCTGTGATGCCCAGCAGCCCCCACCCTGGCTGTGCCACCATCCAGGGCGGGCCCTGGACCACTCACCTGAGGGCCTGGACGAGGTTGAGGTTGGCAAACTCGTGGCAGTCCACAAAGGCCTGGAGGACCTGCAGGTTGATGGGGTCCCTGGGAAGGGGGCGGAAGGGAGAGTGGGATGCACTGGGGAACATTCTGGTATGTTCCACCTGTTGGGGGGTGGAGGTGAGGGAGGGACAGAGGGGACAGATGTCCTCCTTCTAGGTCCAGCCTCTAACTGGCCTGTTCACGCCTGACCCCACATCACCCCCCTCCCACGGCACACCGTGCCCTCCCACACCTGAACAGACCCCCTCCCACGCCCACAGCTCACCAGCGCTGCTCTCACTGGGGACGCGAGTCTGGCTTTGGAGGGGCCTCCCCTGAGTCAGACCCTCCCTCGGTCACTGCCTGCCTAGTGACACCACTTAGGACACTTGATCTCTCCCAGCCCCAGTGTCCTATCTGTACAACCGACCCTCTTCCCGCTCTCAGGTCAGGGGTGCTGCCCGACTTGCCACCTGTGTTCCCTGCTCACTCAGGAGAATGGGTCCTCTGGGGAGCCTGCCAGGAGAGTGGCCGGCCTGTTGGCCCAGCCCCCCAACCCAGCAGCCAAAGGGGTCCTCTCAGACACTCCTCTGCCCAGATCCTCCTGTGGACCCCCATTTGTCACCTACTACGTCCTCCCTCCTCCCTTTGCTCTCTTCCAGTCTCACCAGCCAGCCTTTCCTTGCGCACGCTTCTGCCCCAGGGCCTTTGCACATGCTGCTCCTTCTGCCCGGAATGCTCTTCCCCTACATGTCTACCCTGCTCTCCCTCTTGAAGCTTCAGTCGAACTTCACCTCCCCACGGGACATTCCTGTCCACGCCAGAATCACAGCCCTGGCCCTGTGGTCCCTAGCCCCTCTCCCCTCCCATCCCTGCTTTATTTGGATTCCAAAGAATTTATAATTTTCTAACAGGCTTTACATAGTTGGGAATCTGTCTTCCTCATTGGAATCTGTCCTTCCCGAGGGCAGGAGTTTTGTCTGTCTTGATCACTGGTGTAAATCCGGGGCTTAGAACAGTGCATGGCAAAGGATAGATACTGATGTCTGCTTGTTGGAGGAAGGAAGGAAGGAAGGAAAGAAGGAAGGAAGGAAGGAAGGAAGGAAGGAAGGAAGGAAGGAAGGAAGGAAGGAAGGAAGGAGAAGAAAAGAAGGAAAGAAGGAAGGAAAGAGAGAGAAGGAAGAAGGGAAGGGAAGCAGGCTTTGGGTCTGAATCTGGGGGGGAAGGGACAGCCTCCTCGAGCTGCAGGCATTATCACTTTCCTGACATAATTCCCTCCCTCACTCACTGCACATACACATGTACACTAACCTGCGTGCACACACCTGCACCCCCCCGTTCCCTGCCTCCCTAAGGCCCCGCCCCTTACCTCTCCCCCAGGTAGGTACCGATGGCCGTCTTGTTGAGACCCTCGCCCTTGTACAGGAACTGGGCGATGTCCTGGGCGCTGGAGGTCAGCAGCTTGTGCTCAGTGAGGTGCTGGATACCCTGGAAGCGGCACACGGGCATGAGCAGCCAGCCCGGGAGGAGGGGTCCCCGCGGCCCACGCCGTGGCCTGGCGTCTGGCCCTGGCACAGCCTGTTCTGGGACGCTGTGTCCCTCCTTAACGGAAGCTGCCTTTGTAAGGTGGTGAGCTCCCCATCCCTGGAGGCATGCAAGGAGAGACGGGGTGTCTGCCACGCACCAGGTTCATGCCAGGTGCTCCTCAGGGCTCCCCTCAGTCTGACTATAAGCTTCAGTGATTCCATTGACTTAAAATTTTAAGATTCAATGATTCCGCCATTCCTTTTGTTCCCTAAAAGCTCACATTATTGAAACAGAGTGTTTCGCTTGTTTTCTTGCCAGTCATCGATGCCCATTGTATAAGAATTAGGGAAACACAACATCAAAGAAGAAGTTGCCCGAGTCCTGCCGCTTGGAGGCAGACAGTCGCCGTGGCGGTGGCTTCCCGCCCTTTCTCGGTGGAGTGGGAGCGTGCCCCGCCTTCTGCACCGTTTCTAGTTTGCCACCATCACAAGCGTCTCTCCCCCCCACTCAGGCACTCGGAATCTATCATCCTCATTCTAGGAATTGGGGAGTTTGCCCCCTGGTTTTCTGTAGTTCCTTCACGCTCCTTTTGGTGAAAGGTTTCTGGGAGATGGGGGGCAGGGAGTGGGGGGCTCTGAATGCCAGGCAGAAGGTCCCGGGGGGCCCTGAGTGGCCCTTCTCAGTGCTCTGGTGGGGCGTGTGAGTGTGTGTGTGTGTGTGTGTGTGTGTGTGGTCCCTGGTATGGGGCAGAGGGGGCCAATTTGGGGGGCTTGGGAGGGGGTGGGTGGGTGGTGCTGTGGGCCTGTGACCGGGAGGGGAGGCAGCCTTTGCAGCCCGAGCGGTAAGTTTCCAGGCCCCCTGGCTGCCCTGACCCCTCCGTCCTGTGTCAGGCGCGCTTCCTCCCGTCTGTGCTCCCACAGGAAAGGAGCCACAGCCTCGGGCAGGCCAGGGGGGTGGGGTGGGGGAGGGGAGAGGGTAGCTGAGCTGCAGTGCTCTGTGCCTGCACCCGGATCTGGCTCCCCGCCCCGTGTCTGGAAGGCACGTCTGGAGACTGAGCCCCAGAATCTAAGGGTCTCCCTGTCTGATGCCCTCCCACAGAGGAGGACGCAGGCCTAGGGCCCGGGAGCCCAGGTCCATGGCCGTCACAGACCCCCACCGCCTGGCTCCCACCTCACGCCTGGGCTGCTGTGCCCAGTGACAGAGCCCCCGGCCGTGCCTGGACAGCAGGCTGAGCCCTGCTGGCCTCAGTCTCCTCATCTGTAGGATGGGTCATTGTGTCAGTGGAGGGGAACAAGGCGGCATCATGAATGTTGGCCCCAGGAGTCCAGCCCCTCCTGCCGCCTACCTTCACGGGGTCCATGTTGAACTTCTTGCGCCCGATGCAGAGCTCCTTCTCCTTTTGGGCCATCCGGCTGTGCACACAGAGGGGTCAGGTGGCTGCCCCAAGACCCAGGGCACCCCCTTCCAGTCTCAAGGTCCCTCAGACACCGTGAGGACTCCGTCAGCTAGAGCCCGTACTCCCAAGGGGCCTCCAGGTGGCGGGGGGGGGGGGGGGGGAGGAGGAGGGGGGGAAGGCGCGGGGGGGGGGGGGCAGGCCTGTGAGCGTGAGAAATGCAGGGTCTGGCCCTCCCGGAGCCGCCACAGCAGCCTCCTCCACTGGGCCCAGCGCCATGGCCTTGAGAACCCAGTTCTGGGGAGGAGCTGAGGGGCCGTGCTGGGGTGCGGGCAGGATGATGGGGAGGCAGAGGGGGGCGGGGGTGAGAGCGCAGGTGGAGCCAGCCTCTTGGTGCAAATCAGCCCCACCCCTGGCTGGCCAGCCACTTAGGGAGAGGTGCTCCTCTCTCTGGACCTCAGTTTCCTCATCTGTAAAATGGGGCAGCACCACACCGGCTCCCAGCACAATAGGGAGGTTAAAGCGCTGGAGCAGCTGGTGGTCGGGGCTCTGGAAATGGCCTGTGTTATTGCTGGGGCCTGAGCCCTGAGCAGGGAACCTAGAGGCGGGTGGCGTGGGCGTGCATGGCAGTGTCTGTGTGCATGTGTGGGGGGCTAGAGGGTGCAGGTGGAGGCGGCAGAGAGCTAAGGGGTGGCAGGGGCAGGGTGGGGATTTCCTGGGCCCCGGGGGCCCTATGGGATTATGGCAGGATCAACCTTCTCACCTCACAAGTGAGAAAACTGAGGCCCAGAGAGGGGAGGGGACCAGCCCAGGTGACAGCCATAGGAGTCTTCCCATAGCGGGGAGGGGGGCAGGTGACCCACACCCTGAGGGTGGAGTGGAGTGGACCAACCCCTGACCTGCCACAGGCTCCTCCCCCTGAGGCCTGGCTTCTCTGTCCATCCCAGGATGCTCCTGGGCGGTGATTGGTCAAGGGATAGGTCAGGGCGGGTCGGAAGAGACTTTGGGTGGAGAGGATGGGAGGATGGGCTTGTCTCTCAAGAGAGGGAGGTGCCTGGAAGCAGGGACCAGCCAGCCCTGTCCCCCCCTCTTCCTCCTCCTCTTCCTCCTCTTTCTCCTCCTCCTCCTTCTCCTCCTCCTCCTCCTTCTCTTTCTCCTCCTCCTCCTCTTTCTCCTCCTCCTCCTCTTTCTCCTCTTCCTCCTTCTCTCCTTTTCTTCCTCCTCTTCCTCCCTCCTCCTCCTCCTCATCCTTCCCCTTCCTCTTCCTCCCCCTTCCTCTTCCTCCTCTTCTTCCTCCTCCTCCTCCTCCTCCAGGGCCCCCTCCCTCACTTCCCCAGGGCCCAGACAGGCATGGCAGCTCATTCATGGTGTGTGACATCCTTAGGACGATGCCACGACAACTTCCGGGGTCCCCTGCCGACACCTCACCTCTCCTCTGTTATCTCGAAGCAGTCGATTTGGGCAAACACATCTTCGATCTCATCCTTCAGCTTCTGTGGGTGTCGGGGAGTGGGGAGAGGGGCAAGACAGGGAGGGAGAGTCAGGGGGTAGAAGCTGGGATAGAGGGCTTTCACAACTCTCCCCCACCCACTCCCATCCAGTGTGACCCCCATATTGCTCCCTCCTGACAGACCATCTCCCCGATGTCTCCTGTCCTCAAAGTCCCCAACCTAACAGCTTTCGTCTGCACTCTTTCTCCCACCCTCTCCTGACGTGGGGGTGCGGTCCCCAAGTCCCCATCCTATTTCCACCTTCCCATCTCTCTTTGGCAGCTGTAAAGTCCCCTGCCTTCTGGCCACGCCCACCGGCCAGCCCTCCTCCAACCAGCTGCCATCTTTATGGAGCAGACAGGTGCCTGCCCTGCCCCTGCTCAAACTCCTTCCGTGGCTCCCACTGCCCCTGTCCCCGGGCAGAAGGCACAGATTCCCGCCTGGGAGGGGCCCAGCTCCTCTCCAACTTTCCTCCATCTCCTTCCTCTGCCACTTGTCCCTGATCTGGTGCCCGCTGTGTGCCAGGGACTGTGGGTGCACCAGGCACTAGACAGCGCTGGCCCTTTTCCCAGGGCTTTGCCATCCCCATGGGGCTCGCAGAGAGGACATTGTGTAGAGAGGTGGGGTGACAGGTCAACTAAGGTCTGACTCAGCCTCTGCTTTCCCAGACCCCCCGCCCCCCAGCATGTTCTGTCTTGACCCTTCAGGGGGCGACAGTGTCAGCGGAGAACCCCTGCCTCTGCCAACTGCCACACCTGGGCAGACAGGGACAGGCGGCAGCTTGACCAGCATTCCCCTGCAGGGCAGCAGCATGGGCCCCTAAAAGGCACCCAGCCCCCCTCCCCCTTTCCCTGAGATCTGTGGGATGGGGTGGCCCCAGGGGCTTGTTCTGGGTCCCCAGGACGCATGGGACCTGGGGCCCCTATCTGTGCCCAGTCAGCTCCTGTCCACGTGCTCTCGGTTGAGTCACTGAACGGCTTCCCCACAAACAAGGGGTGGGGGGTGGGGGAAAGAGGCTCACTCACAAGTATTAACTGAGCACCTACTATGCTCTGACTATAATTGGGCTGCAAATGCAGGGGTGGGCAAGACGGACCCACGCTCCACGTATACAGAGCTCAGTTAGTGAGGTTGGGATCACGATGGCCAAGGGGAATGAAATGACGGTTCAGGTAATGGTCACAGTCATGATACAGGAAATGCCTGGCACAGGGTAGGTGCTCAGTAAAACACCTGCTGAGTGCACCTTCCTTCTGTGCCTTCCTTCTGCCCTGCAGCATTAGGTGGACGTGTGTTCAGGGGGGGTGGGGTGAGGTAGCAGTTAAGAGGAGACTGCACATGAGCCGAGAGTGACGTAACGAGGAGGAGCCACGATGAGAGCTTGGGAGAGTCCCGGGCAGAGGGGACTGTGCGTGCAAAGGCCCCCGGGCAGCACGGGGCTCAGCATCTTCCAGGAGCAGAACCAGAGTCTGCCTCAGAGGCTGCTGGGAACCAGGTGTGCTAACATTTGGAAAACTGGGGACTTGGCAAGTGCTGGGCACGGACTGGTACTGTGTTGACCTAAGATGCCTGTGTTAGGAGGGGATGAAGTGAAGACTCAGGATGGGGACCAGCGCTGGCTGAACCCTCTGGGCTCCACGCACAGCAGGGCCTAAGGGTGTGTCAGTGTGCATGTGTGTGGCTCATGTGTACATTTGTGAGTGCCCACTCACCTGGATGTCATCCAGAAGCTGCTTCCGGTGCCATCTGATCCGCTGCAGCTCCTCGGCCTCCCCACTGCTCAGCTCCGCTGGGTCTAGAGAGAGAAGGCTCTGTGGTCACTGCCCCACTCACTGCCCTCCCCCGTCACTCAGCTCCAGCCACTCCAGCCAGTTCTCAGGGACCTCGTCCCTCCAGAAACCCATGACCTGCTAGTCCCTTTCACACAAGCCTGGGCTCTGATGTCCCACCTCCAAGAGGCCTTCCCTGACCACTTTGTCCTAGTCAGCCCCTCCCCTGCTGTCCCCTCCCACCCAGCTTCCTGTTCCTTCTACCCCCGGTACAGGTGCCCTGAAGTTATCTCGTGTACTCGCATCTTTTCTACTGCATTCATTATGCTCATTATTTTGTTCACTGAGCATCCTCAGCAGCTAGGGAGAGCCAGATATGCGGGTTCTCAACAAAATCCCCATGGAAGGCATTCCTTCTTCCCTGGAACATTAGTTTACTCTTTTAGTAAACCACACATCTCTCTTTTATTCGCTTATTTATTTGCACAACCAGGAAGTGGTGTATCATTTTGCTTCATACCCTATTGGCCAGATGTAGTCACATAGCCACGCATAGCTGCAAGAGAGGCTGGGAAATGAGCCTGTAATAGGGTGGTCCTTACTATGGGAGGTGGGGTGACTGGATTTTGGGGCACATCTGAAGCTCACAGCAGTGAGCTGACCTGGCTAAGGGCCTTCAGGGGTGAGTGGCTGACCCAGGGCTGACCTAGGATTGGGATGATTCCCAAGCTTTTCCCACTTCACCTGGAAATGAATTAAAGGAGAGGAATGTGTGTTGGTGAGAGTTCTGTGCAAGGTGCTAGGATGACTCCCACACCCGGGTCAGCTGGCTTGCTTCTACTCCCCAGTGGTGCTTCCTGTTCCATCCACAACACTCTCCTGGTCAAAATCTTCATACTCTGAGTGGCCAGATTATTATGATCTTTGAATACATAATAATCTGGCCAATCAGTGTGTGTGTGTGTGTGTGTGTGTGTGTGTGTGTGTGTGTATCCTGGTGCATAAATTCGTGCATGGGTGGGGTCTGGCCAGCCTGGCCAGGAGGAGGGGACATGGGCAGTTGGCTGGCCTGCCTGCTGGTTGAAATCCTGGTTGAGGGGACAATTTGCATATTAGCCTTTATTATATAGGCTATACACTGAGTGGCCAGATTATTATGCATTCAGAGATCATAATAATCTGGCCACTCAGTGTAGACTCCCCATTACTGGAAGGAAAAGCCCTCATCCTGGTCCTCCCTGGCCTCTCCAGCCAGCCTTCTCCCCACCATTCTCCACCACAGCCTGCCGGTCCGGCCTGCCAGCTCCTCACTGCCCTGTGCTGTCTAACTCTCCGTCTTACTCCCCCGCCTCTGCCGATGCGGTCCTTCCACGGCACGCCTTGTCCCATCTGCCTCTCCAAACCCTTCCTGGCTGTCAGGGCCTAGCTTTGGGAAGTGCCTGCTCATGTTTCTTAAAGGTTTTACAAAGAAAGATACTACTTCTCCTGAATGAATGCAGAGAATATCAAGTCCTCCATTTCCCTACTTCTCCCTCCTGTTGACGGAGCAGCCATCTTGAACTTTAAGATGAAAGCTGGGTATTGAGATGGCAGGACAGCAAACTAGAAGGAGATTGGGCCCTGGGCAACCGTGGGGAGAAAAGTCACTGTATTCACCTCACCAGCAGCTACCCACGTGGACTTTTCAGTGAGAGGGAAATCAGTTCTGGGAATGTGTCTGTCGCTGTTATTCCGAGTCTCTTTGCTAACAGCAGTCAAACCTGAAACTCAACCAATGCTGTGTCCTGATCTGGGAATCACGAACCCTAACCCCCACCTAGAGTGTGGTTGTCAGGATGAAAAGAGCTGAATTTTGCTCAACACCCAGCAAGTACCTGGCGTATGGTAAGGGTCCAACATGTGTATAATGGATGCTCGGCTGTGCCATGCAGCTCTCTTCTTCAGGACCAAGGTGCCCATGCTCTCAGCTGCTGGGGGTGGGGGTGGGCATGTCACCCTGCTGGTCACTCAATACTGAGTCCCTCCCCAGGAAACTACCTCAGCCAGATGCAGCTGCTTCGCCTAAGGATATGTCCCTCCAATAGGGCAGCCACAGCACAAAATGTCAAGACCCTTTGCCTCATTTCTGGACCCGAGCCAGCTATCAGACCCAAAATCTATAGGCTGAAGAAGATGCTGTGTCCGCAGAGGGAAGGGTCTTGCAGCGCTGTGGCAAGTGGAGTATATGGTCAGGGTTTCTTTGGCCAAGTAGCCAAGGTGGGTCGGTCTGACCCGTCAAGTCGTAAAGTCAGCGATTGAACAAGGGGTTGTGAACAGTGGTGAGGAGTCCTCCCAATGGGCAGGGCTTTGGGTGGGGCACCTGGTCAACCCCTCATGCGGAAAGAGAAGTGTTGGGAAGTAAGAGCATACATGCAGTCACGGGCAGTGGAGAGTAGCTTGACTGCTTGGTCGGAGGCTAACAAGAAGGATTAGAAGGCTGGGAACAGAGACATCTGGGGAAGAGGCAAGTCGATGGCCTGCAGGAGTGGGCGCGGAGTGGGAAGACATAAGGCACACTTCTGTTTCCCAGCATGCACCCATCACAGAACTGTGAGACTTGGCCAGTTGACATCAGCCAGTCCCTAGCCAGCCCAGCGCTGGTACGATGGCACAGGCATGAAGTAGCCATGTGGCCTGGGCAGGGACTATGGGTAGACCCACTCGCCCAGGCTTCCCAGGCTGCTGACGTGCCTGCTTGCGAGCAATAGCCACCCGCTGTTTCCTGAGAAACCCAACCGGCAACTCGGCAGCTAGTGGATCACGCAGGGTCCCTTCTCTTCTGCAGAGACCAGCAATCTCTCCTGACCAGAATTCACACATGTTCTGCGTGTGTGTGGCCTTTCCTGCCCACAAAGCTTCGGCCAGCGTCGGCACCCACGGGCTCCCAGAGGGTGTGATCCTCCGACACAGGACACTGCATGACATCACATTAGACCGAGGGACCCTCTTTACAGGAAAGGAAGTGTGGGCGGAGCCTGTGGCCGCGGGTCCTCTCCATGTTCCCCCACCAGTTGCTGGGGGTGTGCTGGCCTGGCAGATGCCTGAGCAATGAGCCTCTTGAAGGTGCAGCAGCAGTGTCGGCCTGGAGACCATATCCTGCTTGGATGGGCACTATCCTTTGCACCAGTGGCTGCTAAGGGGTGCTTTGTCCTCCAGTCTGTAACCTACACAGATCCAAGAACGAGAAGGAGGAGGAGGAGAAGGAGGAGGAGGAGGAGGAGGAGGAGGAGGAGGAGGAGGAGGAGCAGCTCCACTACCACCCCCTAGTGACTCACTGGGGAGTTTTCCTTTCTGTGTCTGCAACTCTGAGCTCTGCTGGCCCGGAGTTCCTGGTTTCTAGGAGGTAGGGGAGGCGGCCCTCACACCCACTCCATGCCGGTAGCTTCATATAACTTGTCACTTCATCCTGACCACTCTGCAAAGTGGGTCTTTTTTTAGTTTAAGACACAGAGGCTCAGAGAGGCCAAGTGACTTGCCCTAAGTCACACAGCCAAGAAGTAGCAGTGCTGGGATCAGAACCCTGGTGTGCAGGTCCCCAAGACTGCGTCCCAGGGTTCTGCAGCCATGGGGACACGTGGGGGTGGAAGGCGCGAGGGGCCGTCTGTGTGGAGTCAGGAGCAAGGGCGTGGCAGCAGGGAGCTCCTGTCGGGAGCGGGAGGGGGCTGAGAGCTGTCGTGGAAAGCCCCAGTCACCCCTAGTTGACCGTGGGTGACAGATCAGACTCTTTGTTTTGCTTGTTTACTTCCTGTTGCTTTCCTGTTGGCTGAGGGCCTGGGTTTTGAGGGGGGCTCTGGCCGGGGTACCCCTGCTGGGGGAGGCCACGTGGATGCTCAAGGGGCTGGAGAGAGGCCAGCCTGGGTCTTCATGTTTCTATGCCCAGTCCCCGCGGTGGAAGGCCAAGGGCTGGGACCGGGGCCGAGGCTGCCTTCTCCCCCCCCCCTCCCCCCCCCCCGTCTCTCTTCGCTTCCCTCATCTCTCTTGGGCCAAAGAACCACACACACAGCCCCTCCGCTCCAGCTGCCCCCTGGGTTTCAGACCCTGCTGCCCCTCTGGGCACGGGCTGTCTTCTTGTTTGCCATTTGGACCAGAACGGAAGTCCTAGAATTTCCCCTCAATTCTTCCTGAGTCCCCTGGGATCTAGGATGGTTCCTGAGATACCCCGGAGGCACCTGGACCCTCGCTTCCCTCTCACCCTCCAGTCTCCTCTCTTACCAAGCCCCCTCCATCTTCTTTGTTTGCAGAGCCCCCTCCCCTTACACTTCTCCCCCTCCCCCCCACCCCCCCCCCCCCCCGCCACCCGGCCACCAGCTCCTGTCTGGCCAATGCAGAGCCCCCTGCCTCCACTCTGCCCTTCCAACCCGTCCTCCCATGGCGTCCCCTTGTCCTGGGGATAAAGACTCCAAATCTCACTGGGCCCAGCCGTCCTGTTGGTGCAGCCCTGACCTCACCACACTCCGTGCCCTGCCCCCGGCCCTGGACTTGAGGCCTCCCTGGCCACCCTTCGCTTGCTCTCGTGTGCTCTTTCCCACAGGCCTTTGCATATGCTGTTCCCCGTGCCTGGAATAACCTTCCTTCCCCCCTGCAGGAGCGCCTCCCCTTCCTCTCCAGGTCCTCGGTGCCCCCGTGCTCCTCCTTCCCGCTCACTGCAGCAGGCCTCGCCACACCTCACTGCTCAGTAACCTCGCCACGCCGCTGGTGAAGGAAAGAGGTGCTAGTTGCGCACCTACTATGTGCCAGGCCCTGTGTGCTCTAGGCCGGTGGTCGGCAAACCGCGGCTCACGAGCCACATGCAGCTCTTTGGCCCCTTGAGTGTGGCTCTTCCACAAAATACCACGTGCGGGCACACACACGTACGTACAGTGCGATTGAAACTCCGTGGCCCCATGCGCCGAAGTCTGTTTTCGACCTGGGCGAGTCTATTTTGAAGAAGTGGCGTTAGCCGGGACCGGTTTGGCTCAATGGATAGAGTGTCGGCTTGGGGAATGAAGGGTCCCCGGTTCGATTCCGGTCAAGGGTATGTACTTTGGTTGCAGGCATATCCCAGTAGGGGGTGTGCAAGAGGCAGCTGATCGATGACTCTCTCTCATCAATGTTTCTAACTCTCTATCTCTCTCCCTTCCTCTCTGTATAAAATCAATAAAATATATTTTTAAAAAAAGAAAAAAAAGTGGCGTTAGAACACTCAAGGGGCCAAAGAGCCGCAATGTGGCTCGCGAGCCGCGGATTGCCGACCGCTGCTCTAGGCTCTTCCTGTCCGCTGCCTCGTGTGATCCACACGGCAGCTGTATAATAGAATACCACAGGTGTTTCTAATCTCACTGTGTCGACAAGACGCCTGAAGCTCAGAGGGGGTACAGGACCTGCCCCCGGGGACACAGCTGGCAGGTGGTGGGGCCGCGATTCGCACCCGGGTCCCTCTGGCACACCGAGGCCTTGACACTGGTGTTAGTCATTCGAAGCCAGAGCGACACTCAGACCATCAGAACCCCCTCAGATGCTTGCACCGGGCCCTCTGACTCGGGGATGCCGGCCCTGGCTGCACGACTGAGACCGGAGACAGATGCAGGATGTCGCCTGCAGTCCGAGCCCCTGTCTTTAGGGTGAGAGATAAAGCAAAGCCAGCAGCACGCAGCGGGGATACTGAGGCACGTGCGCGGATGGAAGCGGTTTTCCCGGGAGCGTGGGCGGCTCGGGGGGCCGGGGCTGCTTGCCTCTCTCTCTCTTCGGCTCCTTTGTGGTCTGACAGGTTGATTCGTGGGTCCTCTGGGCCCACTGTCCCTCTTTTGGGGGCCCTTACCCAGCAGGGGGCAACCGGCCACGTGCATTGGACTCCGCGGGACAGTCTGACAGCCCCCAGACAGCTGCCCCACGTGGTACGTAGGCCCTCTGACCCTTCACCTACTGGTTAAAAAGTGGGGGTTTCAGAGTTGAGGACTCTGAGCTCAGGGAGTGTGAGAAGGACATGGGTAGAGAGGGTCTGCTTCTCATTCCAAGCCTGTTTCAGGCGCTGGCATGGCTCATAGGGGTAGGTTCTTAACAACAACAACAACAACAACAACAAAACAGTAGTAAAACACAAAAAGCCCAACATGGTAATAACAACCCCCAAGGCTCTGTTGACTCCGCACTTGGCTCCGCCTTTCACACCTCCCAGAGGCCCCCGACACTGGCCACACCCGGCCCGCGCTGGGCTGCCCTCTGCCCCGGTGCCGCCCGGCCATCTGCCCCGCTCCTCCCCACTTCCCCTTTGTCCTTCCTCTTTCCCAGCGTAAGTTCAGAACCGTTCTGCTCGCACCCTGCACCCAGGGCAGCTGGCCCGGTTCCTCTTTTCCAGGCACAGGGAGGTGCTGTCCTGCGCCCGAGGGCAGCGGCTTGGGCTCCGGAGAGGCGGTGGGAGGGCCGCGGGGCCGCGGGGCTGTCTGGGGGAGCTCCGGCCCAGCCTGCCCCGCGGGTGTGAGCGCTGAGCTAGCGTGCGGCTTCCTACCCACCACGGAGCTGCCTCCACTCTATTTTTAACTGCACCTGCCTCCCTGCCCCCGCCCGGCACGGCCACGGGTCACGCTGGGGTTTGTTGCCTGGGGCCCTCACCTTCCCGGCAGGCCCCAGGGAAGAGGGCCTGGCCTGCTTCTGACGTCACACACCCGTGGCTAGAGGAGGGACGGCAGCTTTGGGGGACCTATACCGCTGACCTGCCCATTGTACAGGTGGGAAAACTGAGGCCCATCCTAGCCCCTGGCGGGTTGGTACAGAGCCGTTGGAACTGAGCCAGGTCTGGCTGACTCTAAGTCCTCATTTAGTTTAGGGCATTCACGGAGGATGGTGCCACGTTAGGTGACAAATGGGAGCTCAGAGGAGTAGCCACCTCGCCGTGGGGTGATTAAGACCCCGTCTGGCCCTAACCGGTTTGGCTCAGTGGATAGAGCGCCGGCCTGGGGACGGAAAGGTACCAGGTTCGATTCCGGTCAAGGGCAGGTAGGTACCTTGGTTGTGGGCACATCCCCAGTAGAGGGTGTGCAGGAGGCAGCTGATCAATGTTTCTCTCCCATCGATGTTTCTAACTCTATCCCTCTCCCTTCCTCTCTGTAAAAAAATCAATAAAATATATTAAAAAAAAAAAAAAAAAAAAAAAAAAAGACCGAGTTTGGGCAAGAGAGGAATGCTTGTCCCGTTCTCCTGCTTCCTCCAGGAAGACTTCCCAGATCTCCCCTGCTCATGTGGAAAGAGCGGCTTCTTTCCACGCGCCAGGTCTAAGCCCATCTGCACACCTGACCTGGGCTATCGCCCTGCAGATATGTTCCCTTCTCCCCCATATTGCAGAGCAGCCGCTCCCCTGGGCTGGACCACGGCAGGGTCTGCAGTCCCGGCATTGCACAGCACAGGGCGGACCATGTATGGGATGAATGAGAGAATAGAAGAAGCAATCAACGAAGACCTCGTATCTTCCAGCAGACTGCTCCGGTGGACCCCGTCGAATCCCTTTCTCTCCTGGGCCGGCCTAAAGCACAGCGGCGACCCCGCTCTGGCCTCCCTGCCCCGCCCCCACACCAGCCCAAGGGAGCCTGGGCTCTCTCTCCGCTCAGAGGCCTGGCCCTATTCTGCCACTTACTGGCCGCCAGCTTCTTCTGGGAGCCTGTTTCCTCCCTTTATCCTGGAGACAACATCCCTGTTCCCAAGGACCCAGCAGGTGAGGACCCCAAAGAACAGAGTGATGATGACGGAAAGACGGGCCTGCGGGGGACCCCTGTCTCCTCCGCCCCTCGCATCTGCCGGGTGGCCCTGAGCCAGGCACCGATCCTCACTGGTCTCCTCTTGCCCAATATTAAGGGGACCAGACGTCCCGCTTTTGGCGGGACCGTCCCAATTTCTAACAATTTGTCCCGCGTCCCGCGGTGTTTTAAAACAGTCCCGATTTTTGGAAAGAATCGGGACTGTTTAAAAACCGCCGCTGGACGCGGGACAAATTGTTAAAAATCGGGACTGTCCCGCCCAAAGCGGGACGTCTGGTCCCCTTACCAATATGTGCTCCCTGAGCCCGGACTGTCCGTGAGCCCCTGCCCCCCTGGCCCCCGGGAGAAGCCAGGTCGGGAGAGCCCACCGGCAGGGAGGCAGGAGGCAGGGAGTGACCCGCAGGCCTGTCCCCCGCTCAGGCCTCCTCTGCTCCCTCTGTCACTGGGGCTGTTGAAATGGACCTGTGGTTCCCTGTCTGTGGGGCGAGGGGCCCCAGGGGGCGGGCTCAGGCTGCCTCATGTTAGGATTTCTTTGCAGAAAGGGTTCTGCTGCTGCCCGCGTGGCACCTCTGGGCTTGGGGCCCCAGGCAGCTCCTGCAGCCCTGGCCTTCAGGACGTCCGGGCAGCGCCGGGCACTCCAGACGCGGGCGCAGGGATCGGCCCCGCCCCTCTGTCCCGGCGAAACGCAGCCCGTTCCTCTCCCGTCCCGAGCGCGCGTCCTCCCTTCCTCTTTCCCTCGGACACGGGGTCCTGCTTCCTGGGGATGGTCTCCGCCACCATCCTCTGCTGCCTGGTCCTGCCCCTCTGCGGACTCCAGGGGGGCCCTGCTCCCCAAAGGCCACCTTCACCTCCCAAAGGCCAGACGGGGGCCGCAGGGCCTTTGTACACGCAGACAGGCTCACAGCGACCAGCAGGTCACCTTTCTCAGCCCCACCTCCGGGCCTGTGCCCCGTCTGTCCCGTCCTCCTTCAGGTCTGCCCCGTCCTCCTTCAGGTCTGCCCGTGGGCCTCTCCGCTACCTGTCCCATCCATCCTCCTCCTCCTGCTCGCCTGTCCTTCATTCCGCTGGTTGCTACCTGACGCGAGTGCACTTCCTGTCTGTCTCTCCTGTGGAATGTAAGTTCCGGGGGGCAGGGACACGCCCGCTCTGCTGCCTGTGTTCCCAGCGCCCGGGGCCCAGCTTGGCAGCGGGCCTGAGCCCGTCCCACGGGCTGAGCTTCTGCATTCCCACCTGTGTTACCGCTGCTCACACACCCATTCCTGCCGGGACCCCGAGGCAGGTGTATTGCCCCCATTCTACAGAGAGGACACCGAGGCCCAGAGAGGCCATCCCCAGTGCTTACCTGGGTGGCACAGGTCCATTCCGAAGCCTCGCGGGGAACCGTGGCCGGTGGGTGCTCCTTGAACTGCTGGCCCCGCTGCTGCTGGCCCGGCAGGCAGAGATGTGTCACCTCGGCCGCAGCAGGCCCCTTCCCGCTGCTCGCCCCGCCCAGCCCGTGTGGGGAGGAAGTCCTGTGCTCGCAGGGGCTGTGCGTGGGCCCCTGACGTAGCGCTTCCTAAAAAAACGGAGTTTCAAGCAGCAGGCTCTCTCTGCGTCTCAGGTGTGAGCAAGGGAGGGATAGAGGCCAAAGAGATGAAGGGGGGGTGGGTAGGGAGGAAAAGCAAGACACACACACACACACACACACACACACACACACACACACACGAAGATGGTCACGGGAAGGCAGAGCCTTCTCCAGGGACAGGGAGCATGCCCTCAGTAACCCCCTCACATCTAAAATGCAGGGTCACTCCTCTTGGAGTCCAAGCTGAGCCCCAGACCCCACCCCACCAGCTCTTTCATCAGTTCCCTCTGGAGGAAATAAAAGTTAATTCCGTGCTAGGAAGGGCTTTGCTTCCCCGCAGTGAAATGTCTGGCTTTTTCCCTGTCTAGTGACCAGTTGGGCAACATGTTCAATTTCCCTTTTCCCTTAGGGTGCTAGGAAACTCACAGTCAAATCTGTTCTAATATAGCCTTCAGATCTGGGGGCCAAACTCAACATGTAACTTTCAGCTCTGCTGCTCAGCCTGGTGTGAACTTGGGCAAGTCACTTACCTGCAATGAGCATCCGTTTGCTTACCTGTGACAAACAGGGTCGTGGAAAAGATGGAGGGAGATAATGTGCCTAAGAGGCTCAATAAAAAAAATGATCTTCTTTCCTCTTTTAGTTTTGGTTTCCTTCTGTGGTTAAAATTCACATTTTTTACTGCTTGTACCTTCTCTGTTGATTCAAATCGTTTGTGGGGGGTTGAAAGCATGGTGTAAAGAAATATCTATAAAACAAATGCTCTTTCCTTATAACTTTATAAGCAGGCATTGGTTTATTCATCTGTTTCCCCAACAGTCTGGGCCTGGCAAATGTTGGGGACATCGAGGGTAAGTGAAGAAGAAGAAGAAGAAGAAGAAGAAGAAGAAGAAGAAGAAGAAGAAGAAGCAGAAGCAAAAGCAGAAGCAGAAGAAGAAGAAGAAGAAGAAGAAGAAGAAGAAGAAGAAGAAGAAGGCAGAGAAGGAAGAGGATAAGGAGGAGGAGAAGGAGGAGATGGATGAGGAAGAGGAGGAGGAGAAGGAGAAGGAGGAAGAGAAGAAAGAGAAGGAGGAGGGAGAGGAGGAGGAAGAGAGGAGAAATGAATGAAAGGAGCACAGGGGAAATGGAGTGCTTAATGCAGAATTTAGCTATAATTTCCACCCCTCCCTGTAGCCACACCCCTTACACTGCCACTGCTCCCATCAAGATGTGAGGGCTAGTTCTCCTCCCCTTGAATCTGGCCTGGGCCGTGTCTTTCTTGGACCATGAGAATGTGACGTTTCATGACTTTTGAGACCGGGCCATAAGAAGTTTGGTAGCTCCCCGCTTTGTCCTTGGACCCCTGCCCAGCTGCAAGGGGACCCGGCCTGGGCTAGTCAGGTGGGGGATGGGAGGCCACCTGGGGGAAGGCCCAGCTGTTCTCAGTGCCACCTGGTGGCAGCCTCACGCGTGAAGAACACGAGAAGAAGAGCCGCTAAGCTGAGCCCACCCCAGATGGCTATCCCACGGAACTGTGGGAAATACGAAACTGTGTCAAGCCACCGACTTTTGTTACGCGGCAAAAGCTCACTGCTACAAAGAAAGTCCGTGCCTTCCTTTCACCGAAGAGAAAACCAAGCCTCGTTCCTGGCACAGGCTGGGCCGAGCTGAACCTGGAGTCCGCGGGCAGCCCAGGACTCTCAGCGGGGAGCTCGCTGGACTCCCCAAACCAGCCTGCTCCTCGGCTCTTGCATACATTCAAGGCTATTTTCTAGGAAACGTGTTGAAATGATCTCAGTGGCAAACCAAATTCTCAACAAATCTGGGCGTGAGGCACAAACAGACATTTCCCAGGTCACTTCCAAAAGAGAAAGTGGGGGAGAAGTGTGACTCCCCGTGCAGAAAGGCGATGGAACAGCAGGTCTGACCGGGCCCTGCTTGCAAGTCCGGCCCTCGCCGGCTTCTGGGAGCATGAACCTGGGGAGGGTTCCTGCCACCCCGGGTAAGGGGCTCGCTGTGGCCAGGCTGTGTGTGCAAACAGGGTGCTCTGTTCTGGACATCTGCTTTCCTTCCGGGAGTCTGGGGTCTGGGGACGAGCATGGCCCACGTAGCTGACCCCAATGAGAGCCGGGGGCACTGGGTCTCTGTGCACATCCCTGGCTGACGGCACCTCACACGTGTTTTCACAGTTTGTTGCTGTGAAATGAAGAGCTTTCTGTGTGACTCCACGGGACAGGACCACGCTCACGCCTGGCTCCCTCCGGCTGTCACCAGGCTTTTTTTTTTCTTTTTTCTTTTCTTTTCTTATTTTGCTTTGCATCCTTTCCGCTGCGATGGAGAAGACTACGTGCGGGTTGTGTGAATCCCCCTGGCGATGTGGTCTTGGGGACCCCAACACATGTCCCAATGCTGTCTCCGGGGTCACGGTTTGGCATCCGGGATGGGGTGGCCCTTTTTGTCCGAGGGGCTGGTCGAATGGGTTGGTGAGTGTGAGTAACTCATTCTCTAAGAGTCGACTCAAATGCCACCTCCTCTGGGAAGCCTTCCGTGATTATACCTCCCTTCCCCCCCCCCCGGCCCCATAAGCCCTGGTCCTGTCTGGCAGCTCGTGTGCAGGTAGCCTGGGAGGGAGGGACACTCCCGCTGTGGGTGGCAAAGGGTTTGGTAGGATCAGTGGCAGGGGACCCAGGGAGACCAGATGCAAATCCGGGCTTAGCTAGTTGTGTGAACGTCTCCCCTCCGAGCCTTGTTTTTTTTTTTTTTTGTCACCTGCAACCTGGGAACAGAAGAGATTGGGCTTGCTGATATGAAACATAAAATCCAAGTGACAATGGGTTTAAGAAAATCAGAGGTATATTTGTCTCTTAGGATCAAGAAGCCTGAGGAGGGTGATAGAAGCCCGATGACCAGGGATCAAAGCTCCTTCTAACTCCCTGCTTGCATCCTCAAGGTCTCCTCCTGGGCCAAAGTGGCTGCCTATCTCCAGCCATTGTGCCTGAATCCCAGGCGGGAAGAAGGATGGAGGTGTGAGGGGCTCCTGCTATTGGGACCTTCCTGGGGCTCTTTCTGGCCTGCAGGCAGCCCTTCTTCCCAAACGGGGCCCCGCTTTACCCGTGTGCCCTGCAGGGGGGTTCATAGTTGGGAATGGGGCAGCACACAGCGTTCCCAAATACGGGTCTGGGAGGTCCCCAACCAACCACCACTGCCATGACGGAGTACTCGCTACACGCCAGGCGCGGTGCTGAGTGATGGTACAACATCTCACTTACTCCTTTCCACAACCCGACAGAGTGCACTGCGCCCTGTTGTATAGATGTGGAAACTAAGTCAGAGAGGGTAGGTTACACGGCCAGGAAGGAGCAAAGCTCAGGCCCAAGCCCTGTGCTGTCTGCCTTTGTGCCCATCTCACTTGAAACGCAGAGAAAGAAGTCAGTGGCCTGCCCACCCCCAGGGAGATGGGGAAGGTCCAGCACTGAATCCTCTTGTAGCAACACTGTATGAGTGATGCTTCCTGTTTGCCCCGAAGCTCAGAATTCCTCACGGGGCACAGCTGTCTCCAGGGTGAGAGCGGGAAGGAGCTTAGAGGTGGTCTAATTTAGTGACCTCCTTTTACCGGGGACAGAGGGGACTCAGAGTGAGTAAGGGGCAGAACTTGCCCTTGAGCCTGTTTGGGCTGCACTGTTAGAGTACTTCATCCATCCATCCGTCCATCCATCCATCTATCCATTCTTCCATCCACCCATCCATCCATTATCCATCCATCCATCCATCCATCCATCCATCCATCCATTACCCATCCATCCATCCATCCATCCTCCCATCCACCTATCCATCCATCCTTCCATCCATCCATACATACATACATGCATTACCCATCCATCCATCCATCCATCCATCCATCCTTCCATCCACCCATCCATCCATTATCCATCCATCCATCCATCCATCTATCCATCTATCCATCCATCCATACATACATGCATTACCCATCCATCCTTCCATCCACCCATCCATCCATTATCCATCCATCCATCCATCCATCCATCCATCCATCCATCCATCCTTCCATCCACCCACCCACCCACCCACCCACCCACCCACCCATCTGTTCAGTCGATGGTTATTGAAGCCCTGTTATGTGGTGTGTGCCCTTCTCGGCATTGGCACAAGATAGACAAAAACCTTGACTCTCATGGGGCACATGGTTGTATCGGATGAGCTGGGTAGGACCTAGCAATGTGGGCAGGGTGTGTGTCTGGGATGAAGAATCTGAGTCCCTCTCTTTCATCCTTCTCCCTGATTTCACATTTGTCCTAATGACTCAGACCTGGAGACAGTCTCAGTCTGGCAGATGGAGCCTCTCTCTGTCTTGGAACTGCTGAGCTTTCTGGCATCGGCCCCCCGAGGACCCGAGCAGCAAACAGGGCTTCAGGAGCCAGGGGCTTTCCAAATGTGCCCGCTCCCCCCCCCCCCCACCTGCCTCCTCGTCTAGGTTCAGCCACAAGACTTACCGAGAGCCAACAGCACAGGGGGATGGAGGAGGCTAGACCTGGGAAGGCTCTGTAATTCAGGATGTCAAAGGCAGGGATGGGGGTCGAGGGTGGTGCTGCACACTTGGATGTTCCTTCACCTTTAGAATGTGCTCTTAATGAGATGCTGCTCCTCCCAGTATCACTGATAACCAGGGAACTGGGGAAGAATCAAATGCTCACCAGGGGCTGAAGGTTAATAAATTATGCAGCATTCAGACTCCGGGCCCCTGTGAGCCATTGAAAAGAATAATGATGATGTAGAATTCAAGCGTCTTTTGCTGTT